AAAATGGTAGCTGGCGATGCATATGATTGGGATGGCACGCTCTGAACATGTTCTGAAGCTCAGACAAAAGAACACCACAAAAGAGGGTTGGGGGCAGCGGCTTGCTGCAAGTCCCACAAAGCGCGTTGGGAGCCAGCCAGTCTACCCAACCCCATCTATGCTGCTAACCCTCAGCCAGGTTCTGAGCGGCAAAGGAAAGTAGCGAATGTCGACCAAACTTCACCGCACCGAAGGTTTTCTTCTCTCCCCCCGTTTTTTCGGGCGTCCCATTTTGGAGGGAATCCGGATCTCTTTTGGTGGAAGACCCAGATCTATGACACCAAACGAGCCTGTCTCAAAATAGGTGAACCCCTCATTTTTTTCGTGGCTTTCCTTGGTGGTTCGGAACCCCAACTAGGTAAGAACCCCTCGGTTTTTTTGGTGGCTTCCTGGTGGTCGCCCTGTGGTTCCACCCACCAAAACCCGGGCCGAGCAGTTCTCCGAACTCAGCTCTTGGGCCGCGGCCTGAGAAAGCCGCGCGGAAGGCCTCAGTGAAGTGAAGCTCCGAGTGGGTGCCTTCCATTTGGTTAGGACCCCTGGAAAACAAAAAACACAGGGATTTGTTTTTTGTAAAAAACAAAAAACAAAACTGGAAACAAAAACACTGTTGGTTATATATATATATACATATATATATTTCCAGTAATAGATTCCCTTTAAAAACGACAGGGGAAAAATTAACACATATTCTTGAGCAAATGGAAGGTTTGGATTCTTCTCAGGTGGCTTCCCATTTACCGGGACAAATCCCATTGGTGGTTTGGTGTCTTGGTGGTTTGGATTTGTGGTTTGGATTGGTGATTGAGGTGGGAATTCCCATTTACAGGGACACCCCGTTGAATTGGTTGTTGGATTGGTGGTTGCGGGTTAAATCCAAATCCCATTGAGTGGGTCAAATCTAGTTGGTGTCCCATTTACCACGAGTCTCACAACCCACGGGCAGCTTTCTTCTAGGGGTTTGGTTTGGTGGGTTGGATTGCTGGTTTCTACGAGAATCAGAGACTCAAATCCCAATCCAAACCAACTAAGGGATACCTGAGGAACTCACTCGGAGTGAGCCTGTCGAAACACAAATCAAAGAAATCCGATTTCAAACCAATGAAAACCACCAATAAGTAAAAAGCTGATTGGATCACTGCTCCACAGCAATCCAAAGACGCTGGCAATTTGGTGGAATCCCCAAAGGCGCTGGCAATTTGGCAGAATCCAAGGACGCTGGCAATTTGGCAGAATCCAAGGATGCTGGCAACTTGGCAGAATCCAAAGACGCTGGCAACTAGGTAGGATCCAAACACGCTGGCAATTTGGCGCTGGCAATTCGGTAGAGTTCAAAGACGCTGGCAATTTGGAAGAATCCAACCACGCCTGGCAAATTTGGCAGAATCCAAAGACGCTGGCAATTTGTCAGAATCCAAAGAGATTGGCATAAAAAAGAAGAAGCCAAAGACACTGGCACAAGGGTAAATCCGAAGACGCCAGAATCCAAGGACGCTGGCAAAAGGGTAGAATCCAAAGATGCTGGCGAATTGGCAAATTAGTAGAATCCAACGACGCTAGCAAAAGGGTAGAATCCAAAGACGCTGCCAACTTGGTAGAATCCAACAACGCTGGCAACTGGCGACTTGGTAGAGTACAAAGATGATGGCACAAGGGTAGAATCCAAAGATGCTGGCAAGAGGGTAGAATCTCCAAAGACGATTGTCATTTAGAAGAATCCAACAACGCTGGCAACTTGGTAGAATCCCAAGATGCTGGCAACTTGGTAGAATGCAAAGAAGCTGGCGACTTGGTAGAGTACAAAGATGATGGCACAAGGGTAGAATCCAAAGATGCTGGCAAAAGGGTAGAATCTCCAAAGACGATTGTCATTTAGAAGAATCCAAAGACGGCTTGCAATTTGATAGAATCCAAAGATGCCGGCAATTCGGCAGAATGCAACGATGTTAGCAAATTTTGACATTTAACGACGCTGGCAATTTGATAGAATCCACAAAAGGGAATTATCCAAAGACGCTGGCAAAAGGGCAAAATCACAAGATGCTGGCAAAAGGGTGGAATCCAAAGACGCTGGCAAAAGGGTGGATCTAAACCTGAGTTTCCCTGGTCCTGGCCTCCCTTTGAAGTAATCCAACAAAAACTACACTCAAAAGCTCGGCCCTCTCTCCAGGCCGCGAGGGCGGCGGCCACGGCTGACTGGGGCCCTGCAGCAGAGCCGCCTGGGATGGCGCGCGGCATGCGTGGCTGGTCTGAAGCTTGGGACCCCAAAAACTCGCCACGTCTCCATGTCTCCACTTACCAGGGTTCCCCTTTTTTGACCCACACCCAAGTGGAGAACCCACATTTTCTCACACCCTGGGATTGCACCCTTCGGAAATGGCCCAAAATGGTCCAACATAACCTGATTCTCTCCCGGAAAGAAAACTGCCTAAATGGGGTCATTTCCCAGGCGTATTCCCAGGGCGTAATTCACAAAAACGCTTAGGAACCCCCAAACTTGCGATATCCGATATCGCTAAGAAATGAGTTGGAATGAACCGTCCAACCGTCCAATTGCTGGTTTCCTTGCGAAAGCCTGGGTTCCTTCCAATGCATTCCCCACCTATTTTTTCGCACTCGCAAGACAATTTGTCGGTTCTCCACTGGGTCAAATTTGGGGGAACCCGAACCCTGGTAAGTGGAGACATGGAGAACAACTCGCGGTTTCCTGGTGGCCTAATTTTTGACCCATAGCCACTTGATTTTTCCTGAAAACAAATCTCAAGGGGTTTCCCTGAACAAAGACTCTCCCGCATGGCTCACATGAGTCCAGATACGTATCTGGGTATCACCACTCTCCCGCAATCTGTTGTGTGAAAGTAGATGGCACAATTCCATGATTTAGTCGTCCCGAATGTTTACCAAGGAAATAATGCAATCCATAGTAGTTTCACGGGTGGCAAAGGGGCACTCTGCTTCTTCGAGCGCAAAGCTTGTATGACTGTCTGACCTCATGGACGTGGTTCTTTCTTCCTTAGGCTTTTTAAAAGCGCGGGTTTGGTTTTCCCTCCCTTACACCAGAACGTAGATGACACAGTTCCCTTCATGTGGGTTGTGCCTTCTACTTTCACACTGTAGAAACACAACCATCCCCACCAGCCCAACAGGGTGTCAAATGCCCATGGCACATATATGTCCTTGACCACCAATGCCCAAAGACCATGGGGTCCACTGTTGGGTTTCAGACTCAGGTGACAACCAAGAGGTCCAACCGCTCCTGCATACATACAATTATATACATACATTTTATTATGTTGCATTCCATGACATGACATTACATACACACGTACATAAACATATGGTGTATACATAGATATATATATATATATATATAGATAGATAGATAGATAGATAGATAGATAGATAGATAGATAGATAGATAGATAGATAGATAGATATATAGATAGATAGATAGATAGATAGATAGATAGATTAGATAGATAGATAGATAGATAGATAGATAGATAGATAGATAGATAGATAGATAGATAGATAGATAGCTAGCTAGGTAGATAGATAGATGGATAGACAGATAGCTAGATAGATAGATAGATAGACAGATAGATAGACAGATTTGGTAGGTAGGTAGGTAGGTAGGTAGGTAGATAGGTAGATAGGTAGATAGGAATATGGATAGATAGATAAATATATCGCTGGATGGATACGTAGATAGATAGATAAATCGATATGTAGATAGGTAGATAGATAGATAGATAGATAGATAGATGGATGAACAGACAGACAGACAGACAGACAGACAGACAGACAGACAGACAGACAGACAGACAGAAAGACAGACAGGCAGGCAGGCAGGCAGGCAGGCAGACAGACAGACAGACAGACAGACAGACAGATAGGATAGACAGATAGGATAGACAGATAGACAGATAGACAAATAGACAGATAGACAAATAGACAGATAGACAAACAGACAGACAAACAGATAGATAGATAGCTGGATCTGAAGATATCTGACACATATATATATATATATGTACATATACATATAATTCGATGGAGTGATTGATTGGATCGATTAGATAGATTTGATAGATTGGATAGATGCGAAAGATTAGATATATTAGACACCGCTTGATTTCCTTAAACTTAGATGTAGATTTGGCTTCAGATAGATCGATGGATAGACAAATAGATAGACATGAAGTTAGATATATACACTATACAGACAGATATAGATAGCTATATTTATATAGATAGACGAGTAGATCGATAGACAAATAGATAGATAGATCGATCCATCAATAGACAAATACTTGGATAGGTTTACATAGATTTAGATAGGTTAGGTAGGTAGATCGACCGGTAGGTAGGTAGGTAGATGGAGGGACGGACAAACCGCCTTGAGAAATCCATGAGAATCAAACTGAAACCTCCTGGAAGACTGCTGATTGATCCGATTCGTCTGCTTCATCCGATTGTTTTCCGGGCATGGATTGCGCAACTGCCAGAAGGTTGTTGACCTGTAGTCGGAGAGTCCGACACATGCCTTCTCCCCTTCCTTTGCGCTGTCCTTTTTGCGATGGTGAAAAGGTGAGACAGGCTCCGGAGTCGGTTAGCGGGTTCTAAAAACCCGAGAACCCGAAAACAACTTAAAGGTGTTTCTCAAAACTATGGACCTCTCCGGGTGGGCTTGCTTTCGTCCCTGAAAACTTATCTGAACAGGGTACCCCTGAGCTTGAGAAGCACCCATCCGTCTGGAGCGTGGTCTTTTTCTGACGAGAACCGCTCTGGTAGTGGCTATAGGCGCCTGAAATGCAGAGGAAAGGAACTCAGCCGCAATGGGTGCAATGGATATTTTTCTCCGGCTTCGAGCTGGAAAAAAAGGGGCCCGCTGGCAAAGCGAATTCTTTGGACCCGGCGAAAGGCACTGATCGATCAGCGCCGGGTTTTGGGGCGGCTTCGCTTCAGCGCTTGGCGGCAAAAAGGCCCTTCATGGAGTCCACGAACTCGCTGCCAACATGCCCAGTGACCTGCAAGGGAACCGGCGAGCGGCGAGGTGCATGCCCTTTCACAGGGTTTTGCGTGCCATTTCTGGTGGGGGCCCCTTTTGGTGGGGTTTTTCAGGTTTCAGGGGCCAAGGAAGCGACCCATTTGATTGCCCCGAAGAATGTCTTCTCCTTTTCTGGCGAGAAAGCAAACATTTGAATCCTTGATCCCGGTCTCACTGCAAACTGGGAGCCCGGACTAAGCTCATCAGCTCTGCCAGGCTGATCTCGCCATCCTGACGCGATCGCGCCCACCCAACCGTCCGGTCATGCTGTCCACACGCCCGGCCTGGCCCTTGTCCAAGCGTTCCGAGAGGTACAAAGCTTCATGCACCTGCCCAAAAGAGAGCGGCCGGGCATGGGGCCTGGAGTTGTGAAAGTATCATTTTTAGAACTTGTAGGACATTTGACCTTCACAGAAGAAGAAATAATGATCTAGTTGTGATTTTAAGACATGTTCTATCCAGGATGAAAAGCAAAGCACTTTTTATCCTCTGGCGATCAACTATCGTGCAGGCCCCATGACCGGCCCTTCTGGCCCAAAAAGGCTTGAAACGCGCAAAGGCATGGTTGACCAGTTCATGTGTAACCTTCAAGTTTCAAACTGAGAGGTGGTGAAGGCTTGAAATACTGGATGCCCCTGAAAAACACAAGGCACAGCGCATCTTGCAAGTCAGCGATCAATGCCTGCCCCGCGTTCACTTGTCTAACATCTACAGATCCGCCCTGAGTAAGCAATGGACATAAGTAGGTGCATTGGAACATAGACAAAAACAGCTGGCCGAGTATTTCAATCAAGATCTGCTTAATCCGATCAGGTCATTTCTGAGTTGTTTTGTCACCCTACCAAAAAGCCAAGACCACACTTAAAGGGGCCCTGAACTGGGGCATTCCGCATCTTTTGATTTGGGGCACGCACCCTTGCTGGAAGAAAAACACCCGCGCCACAACAGGCTCCTGTGAAATTCCAAACTGCGGTGGAGACAAGCACAACCCGAGCGAGTGAAGATAAGAATGGCTAGCATTGCCAAAAATGTGGCTCATTGCGGCTCACACTCTGCATACAAAACAATAAACGATAAATATCAAGAAAGGAATACCGTGCAACATAATGGCAAAGACATGTGTGTCAGCATATTGTCTGAACATGCTTGCTTTTAACATTTTGTTGACTGCAAAAGCGGCGACACCATTTCGGCTTGCCAAAACCAGCTGATCAGGTCTCCCGCCACTTAAATATGACCACAAAGGATGCTGGCCAATGACCATCTTGACAAACTCATACAGATGATGAGGGCTCCGCACTTCAAGGATACTTTGGGACCCCCTACGCGCTTTCTCTGAATAAAATCGGTCTACATGTTCGTTGATGCTTCCAATGTTGAGTTGGTCCCCTTTTTGGATGGAGTTTCAAGGACAACCAAAAGGACACCAACAACTTGGGGGTTCCGATTTCTATTTTGAGACCCCGTAGCTGGAAATATTATCATTCAACCCTTAGGCCTATGAATCCCATCGAATCCCCTGAATCCCCTCGAATCGGACTATGCGGACATGAACACACCCAATAAGACACCCAGATTCGCATGGTTTCCCGGGGCCCAACTTCCAACCCCAAGGCTTGCCAGAAACACACACACACACACACACACCCACGCGCGCAAAATGACAGCACTACTGGCACACGTGGCACTGCATGTCTCTTTTTGCAGTTGGGGACTTTCTGGGTTTCCTTGCCTCTCAAGCGAGGTTTGGACCTGTTCTCGACGCCTCAAGGGCTCCGTGCTGAACCATCTCCTTGATGGAAAGAGTGCCTGCAAGTGCCCCCGCACTTTCGTGGAAGCCGTCGCACAAAGCAAGTTCACCAAACAAATGTTGTAATCAAACGGGGAAACATAGGGAACCCTGCTCAAAAGGGGGGAGGGTCCCTTATGGGTATTCAGTGGTTTGAGGCTAAAGAAGGGGGTATCGATTTTGGGTCCCCTATCGGTTGTGCGGGCCTTTGCTGATTTTGCTACCCTCCCAAGGCGCCCCGAATACTACCGAAGACTACCGATTATTTTTGTTGAATGCCCAGATGAACCACAGGTTTCTGCAAGCTTTGACCAAACCTCACATTGACATGGGAATGTCAGATGCATCCTTCTTTTCGGCGCACTTTTCGGCATGGGACAAGACTCCATTGTCTTGGACTCTGGCCATCGTCATCCTCATCCAAAACATCGAAGAGGAACTTCAAATCGGAAGCCGGCATGTCCACCTGACAAAAAGACAAACAACACATCCTCCCATTCTCTGACGTGGGTGTTGTTTTTTCGGGAGTGCCCCTTTTTGATTGAAAGGGAAAGCAAAAGGACAACCACCATTTTTGGGAGGGAGTCTCTAAAAGCAAACGCACCCAGCTTGGGATGGCGAAACAATTTCAGTGCGGTCGAGAGCCCAGCCCCAGCCTTGGCAGTAGCCTCAGATGCTCGGCTGAGTGCAACCGAACCTCTCCAACCTAGTGAGCTATGGTCAATTGTTGAGTGCCCCAATGACATGTGTATGAGTATCATGCGGAACATTTAGGTTGGAAGTGTGCCTGCATCCCCCTGTAATTTTAGAGGACGGCACATATTGAACCTTGGCTCAAATATCTTCTCAATGTCTTGCACTTTGCACATAATATGATTTGGACGGCCAAAAGCCGGTACTGTGGTCTTAGCACGCTGGTGAGGCTCTTTCACGCATGGAGAACCCACTTCAGATCCTCCGCAGTTTCTTCACAGGGAGTCAACTCCTCAAAACGAATCAATGGTTTGGAGCCGAATCGGTTTGGTGGTGTTCCGGGGTGCTTTCCCATCTGCACCAAAAACCCTGCGGAAACCACCGGCCGTGCCGCCGTCTTCTGCTGCGTGATGGCACGCAGAACTCGGCTGAGACCCTCCTGGCGAAAACGCGAGGATCATATTGGAGACCCTTGAGGCTCCGGTGGCTGCTGGAGCCACTCGTGGGAATGTCGTGTTGATGCGGCAATGTGAATTTCAACCCCAGCTTATTCATAGGGGGGTGGCTTTGGCTCCAAAAGTGGTCTGATTCCCCAAACCCAGGGACACCCCCCTATTAATAAACTGGGGTTGATAAATATGGGGCCAACATTAGGCACTTTGCCGCTGTGAGCACACACACATGGAACGGGGACATGGCAAGCATCACTTTCTTTGGGGAATCCCGGCAGTCGCACGTACGCTGTTCCCTGCTGCTCGCTAGGACATTGTGCCAGCGAAACTTGTGCAACTCGAGCAACTCACAGTCAAACAACGTCACCCTGTCCATTCTGCCAAATAGGCCATGGGACGGGACAAGTCTTCGAAGGAGAGGCATGGCTTTCTGAGTGTGCTTTCTGCTTTGGCCGGCCATGCCCTGCTTCGAACCTTCCCTCCCCTCCCTTCCGCGCCTGCGCAAAGAAGCGCCGGAACATTCCCACCACGTACTTGAGATCAACTCGGCTCGTTCGCAAAGTCGTGTTTTCCCGGCGGAAATGCGTCAAATCCGTTGCAACTGGAGAAAGCATTGAGCTTCCGTTCCTGAAAGTCAGCTAAGGCTAGCTTGGGCTAGCCATACACACACAAACATGAACACCGCATGCAAGCGTTGGCCTTGTAGCTGTTCATTCTTCGGCTGAGGCACGACACTTACACACACACACCCGCATGGCAGTGAATTCAAGTCAATCTTACTTTTGAATGATGCGATACCTTGTCTTTTCATTGCATGAAGAGCATTTGAACGCAACACCAGGCAACTCGAACCGCCTAATGCCAGCTCAAAATCAGCTGAGATGCAGCGCTTGATCCTTGGCTGCGCAGCTCTCTCTTAGAATGATGCGACCAGCTTCTTGAAAAGTGTACACTGCAAACAAGGCATAGGGATGTATCTGCAAATTTGAGTACGGTACCATAAGCTGAGATGAGGGACCTCAAAGTAAAGGTAAATCGCTCGTTCTACCCCCGAATCCGGTGGAATTGATGAAAACCCAAACAATAGGCGCAGAAAGGACTGATCTTTGTCAAAGGCCTTTCCGGGCCCTGATTCAATATAAACAAAGAATCCCGGATACAACTGGACTTGTTCCGCTCAATCCTCTCAGTCAGGCTTTCAGCGAAGCGGCTTTGGCCACAAGGCCCGCACGAAAGCTTCCTGCGCCGAGTGCCAAGGGCAAAGCCATGCCACGTCTATATGAGGTCGTTTGATGCAGCTGAGCTTGTTGTGTAGGGTGCTAAACGTGTTTGGAACAAACATGAAACATGATCCATACCTGTTGGTTTCCCTGCGAAGCCTCCAGTTTCCCGCAACTTTCCATTGAGTATGGTTGAAGCGTTTCCATTGCATAGGTAGCCAAGGGAACCTTTCAAACAACCACAAGGAACACCGGGGTTTTCCTCGGGTTCCCTGGCCGCAAAACTCCTTGGGAGTCTTTTTCTCCCCGGCATGGGGCCCGCTCTCCTGGGTGACCTCGCTGGGCGCCTCCATGAGTCGCTGCTTCACCTGCGCGACAAACGCAGCAGTGCCAAAGGAATTGGAGCAAATCGTCCCATTCAGCCACAGGGTGCACTTAAAAGCAACAAACGGGCGGAAACGCCGAAAAGGTCCAAGTGTTTGTGTGCAGCATGAAAAAACAACAAGTTCAGCTTCCCTCGCATTGGTCGTTTTGTGGTTGAGGAGGGACCCGTCCAAATCCAAATCCAAATCCAAACCACCAATCCAAACCACCAACACTAGGGAACCTGACAAGTATCACAATCGAGTTGGAGCTACTGAAGCTGACGCCCAGCTTCTGCCTGACATGTTTTGCAAGAACCTCCATCTGCTTAAGTCCCCCGCATCAAACATTCACATATTACCAGTAGTGATCAACTCCCTTGAAAACCAACAGGGGGTAAGAACAAATGATTCTCAATCAAATAGAAAACAAGAGAAAGAAGGACTTGAATGCAACTTGATTTGCTGCTGCTGCGAAAACTGCACACAACCACCATCGTAATCATAATACGCACCGCCTTGCCAGAATGGGAGGGAAAATAAGCATCGCTCAATGCACAGTCGCAGCCCATGCACCGCAAGCCTGAGTTGAACATGTTCAGACAGCTGTTTCAAAAGCCTCTTCATTGTTTTTGTTTTGAATAAGGGGCTTGTCTAAACATAGGCCCCAACAAACAACTACAGCTTGCCCTCGATCCGGCGCGCGCCTGCGAAGTTCGATTCGCTCTCAACTCAAGTACTTCGAGCGGTTTGGGAACAATCGCTGTGGCGAAAACCTGATAGATGGCTTGCTTGGGCTTCACTAAGGGGCCTGGAGAATTGCGACATGCTTTGCTGTTTTCTGCATAGCCAGTGTTTGCTTTGAGCGGTGCCCGTGCGATCCAGCAATTTCAGAGATCGAGGATCCCTGTCCGCCCAAAAGCAACTCCTCGCAAAAAATCGGCATCGGAGCCCCGCCTCAACTGAAGTTAGCCTGGAAATAGTCCTCTCCCTGGGAGACTTTCAACGCTTGCCAAAAAAGACACGGCGCCTCTCGGGTGAAAGCACCCAGACAAACCAGGAATACTGTCTCACCGGCGTTGAGAAACCGAGACTCGATCTTGAAACCCTACAAGTGTCTCAGCACATGGCCTCGAAATCAACGCCAGAGAGATGCGCTTTGCACCCAAGCGTTTTGGGGGGCCGAAATGAACCCACTTGAAGCCACCTTCCTTGTGCAGAGAGATCAGGCACAGGATTCACCAAAAATCTTTCACAATCGCATAGGGAGGGAATTCTGATGCTGCTCTCCTCTGTCTTCACTTACACATCCTCCGATCAATCCCGCACCGCACACCTTTTCTTAACTTCTATAGCAAGCTGGTGGAGGCTGCTTTCCTACAAGTCGCCGCCTCACTGTGGGATCCGGCATGGAATCCTCACCGTCGATGTCACTGTCTTCGTCACGCCACGGGAGCAGTCGCGCCAACTTTTCTCCGAGCGAGGCATCCTTGGAAGTGACAAAGAAAGGGAGCACTTGGATGTTGATCTCCAGCTCTATCTGTGTATCATTCAGATGGAACTTCAACCGATAGCCACCGAACAACTGTGAAGCCCCCAGGCGCGTGCGGCCATCCCTGTCATCTTTACACTCGCAGCACAGCGAGGATGACTTGCAGAGAAAGAATCCACATGGGTCTCCGGGCTTCTTGGGAGGCAGCTGGCTGGAAGACCAAAGACGTGTGGTTGTTTCTGGTCGCAGGCCCGCCAGCACCAAGGGGCCTAAGGCACCGGCAGCATGTGGCAGCAGCTTGGAGCAATCAAGTGAGAAGAGTTCTAGGTGTCCTTCCGAGTCGGTGCAAATATTCACCAAAGAACCGAAGGCCGTCTCGCCAGACACAAAATCCAGCAAGTCGCAGCTCGCGTATCTGCGACCATCTCCCATGGTGACCATGCCACGCGTGTGAGGCCGCGTTCTCCAAGGCAAAGCCACGCCGTGAAGCATCTCTTGGGCAACTTGGGAGAACACCGCAGCATGCTGGTTCAGCAGAGCACTTGTCGGTCCTCGCAGAAAATGATCCTCGCCGACACGAAGCTCGCTTTTCACGCACACTGATTTGACGAGACTAGGCCAAGAGCGGCCCTGGAAATTCTCATGATCGGTAACCATCAGACCATCTTTCCAAAAAACCGCAGCATATCGGATGGCCGCAACTAGTTCTCGAGCAGAAGGCAGTTGAGTGGGAACTTGCTGACTCCGTATGTGGAATCCATGATACATCATCTGGGTCAAGTCCTGGAAAGGCCTTAGGGCTTGGCTCCATGTCTTGCAAACAGCCGAACAAGCCTGTGAGTGTCGCCACAGCTTAAGAACCACCAGCAAGATTTCCATGGCGCTCATGCCCCATATGCTGCCATCGCCAATCCCTCCGCGCCAGGTTGCATGAGTGTAGTTAAACAAGAAGTCCAACACCAGCGAGTTGACGCAGGGCTGCAACAGCGCCCCTTGTCCGGCGGCAAGCAGCACTTCCACTTGCCGGTGCTCCGTTACATTTGGTCCCGGAGCCGGGCCGATGACAGGTTCCCAGCGCCCTAGCAGCTTCGACGCCACATACAGCAGCTGTGGGCCACTTTCGAACTCCAGGCCAAGGAAAAACCGCTGCTCTTTCAATCGATGCAGCGGAATCACCTCTGCCAACATGCACCACAAGCCCAGCTGCTCGACGTAGACGATGGAAATGACTCCTGGACCTAAAGTGAAGCGCAGGTGCCCATCTCGCCGGAAAATTCCGTGGCACGGCTCCCATCCGCATGACCCGACATTCAGCAACGACGTGTCCGGCTCTACCGCTTGCGCTGGCTGCAGCTCCTTCCGTACTTTGCCAAGGCGTCTTGCAGACTTTATGGCGGCCTGCCACTCTTGCAAACAGGCCTCCTCGGGTTTGGGAATCTGGTGCACCAGCGACGCCCAACCACTCCCTTGACAATCAGCTAGGACCACCGGACAACGTTTGCAGCTTAGAGTGCCGCGGGTCAGGCGAGCTGGCAAGTTCGCAGGAACCCATGTGTTTCTTTCTTCACACCAGGATTCCAAGCGCACGGAGCAATCGCTAATGCCGCCGCTCTTGACATGGGCACAACCATCAAATGCTGAGTTGGAATCAGGATCAAACCCGCTTAGTCTCACTCCTTCAGACAAGGCGCTCAGCCCGTGGGGGCTTGCTGTGCAAACAGTAGAGTTGGCTGGGTCGATACTTGCTACCTCCACACACATGTCCCGGCAAATCCAAAAGGAGTTGAGCTTACTGCAGTGGTCCACAATAAACGTCCCGTCTAACTGGGGGATGCCCTTCAATTGGATTTGCGCCCCTGTCGGAAAACCGTGTCCAGGAGCAACCAATCTTGTTGAGTACTCGCTGCATTCAATCTTCACCACTCGCACCGCCATGGCAACGTGTCGCAGCTGCCTGCGTTGAATATTGCGCAACTGATTAAAAGAACACTTGGACATGTTGTACCAATGAACGAACATTCTTGCTAATCCAGGTTCACGCTGCTTGCTCAATCATCCTGGACTTGATCCCACACGCTTTGTAAACTAATGAGACCTGTGAGCAAGGAGGCAGCGACGCAAACGCGCAATCAGAGTATATATAGGTGTTTTGCTCAAGGGAAACCAACTTGCGCCCCTATTTTGATACATATCTGTATGCCTTGGATGCCTACCACAGATATCTGGCATCAGATCTCACTGCCGCGTGGTCTCCTGTCAAGCCGAGGGCCCCCGAATGATGTGCCGCTAAATCGGGGGAGGGCAATGCCGAAATTGTGTGTCATTTGATTGACTTGGTACCCGTTTTGGGATGTCAAAGGAAAACACAAGGAAAATCGATATCCACGTTGCTGTTTGAAAACATACCCCAGATGACAACCATATCTGACATTCTGGGCGCGTGTAACTTTGAGGGATCATTTGGAGACCTGTGAAAGGAAAACCGAAAGGAAAACCAAAATCGTCGTAGCCCTAGGTTGATACATTCCCTTATGCATCCTGAGTTAAAATCAAAGAAAACTGCAACAACCCAGAAGCCACTGCTAGTAGTTGTGCCGTATTGTTGCTGCGTCTCCAACACCAGGATGAAGCGAACAAGTTGCGTGGCATGAAATCGATCAAGCTGTCAGGACTTTAGCAGGGCATCAGTCTACAGTTGTCCGTCCACTAAACGGTATGGAATCTGACAGCAGAAACCACACTCAACTGCAAAGGTGGGGGTTTATCAATATTCCTGGCCCCGAAATGACCATGGGTAACTATTTTTCCCATTTAGTGCAGGTCATAACTTTTTTTGGTGGTTCTTGAAAAGGGTCACCCCATGTTTACCGGACCTTGTTTTGATCAACCCCCAAGTGTGAGAACAGTAACTCCCCTTGTCCTCCATTTGCTTAAGTCCCCTGGACAAATTAAAATATTTCCAGTAGTGATAGATTCCTTTAAAACCAACAGGGGGACAAAAATAGAAGTTGTTCCGCCTCCCCAAGCTTGTGCTGCCGGGAGGCTCAGCGTGCACAACCGCGCGGTACTCATCCCCCTGCAGCTTGCTGATTCGCAGCCGCAACGCCTTGATGGGGCGCATTGAGGGGATGCCACGGCTTTGGATTTGGCCCATACCCTCCCACCAACTAACATGGAAGTGCACAAAGCCCCTTGCCAAGAGGAAAGTAGTCTTATTATGGTGGCCTATGGGTGGGCTTCCATGCTAGTGGGTGGGAGGGTACACCGTTTGTTATGAAAGCTGCTGCTTTCGGATGTCTCTTCAACACCAAGCTCCTGCAAAATGGCATGTATATCTCATAAAAAAATAATGGAAACATGGAGCTGAACACAGTTCGTTGGTCGACCCTTTTTAAAGCGCAGGATGGCATTCCCGGATCTCCCAGATCTACTGGCTTTCGGCTCAGCCCGGCTTGGGCTGCGGACTCACTCCAAGCTGATACTCACAATCGTGAGGAAAGCGCTTTGCACAGCCCCACATAAACCCATGCATCTCTAGGATTCCAATAGCTGATTTAAGGGATCCCCTATCATGGCGAGCTTGTTGTACCCCCAGGTCGCAAAAAATAATATCTAGGCAGATGCATCCGACCCCCACATACCATCCCATTTGTATCCCCCATACCACTTTCGCATGGCCAAGTCAGCCTCTCGGGCCGCCCGGGGGGGCGTTGCATCTTTCGCCACGGCGCTTTCAGCGCGCGGCTGTCGAGCCTTGGCGCGCGCGACCAGACTTTTGGCTCACAAAGCCCTCACGCAACTTGCAAAGCCCGACATCTATCCAGGCTCGGCCTTATGGGTCTGTCTTTCTTAGACTTGGCTCCCTCTTTTTGGTGGGTTTAGAGGGAAAAAGATCGACCAACATCCTGGTAGGGTCCCGCTCAAAAAAAGCAAGAAAACACATATACTCAAGTATGTTACAGCCAATGTGCTGGCCCTACGCCAAAAAGTACTCTTGAACCTGTTGCTTTTTACAGCCCGATGGATCCCCATCGCTGGTACTTGCTTGTACCGAGCTGAAAACTCCATGGCCGAGACGCTGGCAAGCCTCGATGAGCTTGGCTTTGGAGATGGGGCCAGGTCGGCGTTGATGTCCAGCAACGATGTCCCAGAAAAGAAACAGGTTGTAGGAGATCTGACCCAATGACTTGAAACCGATTGCGATTGGAGACACCAGAAGTGGTTTTAAGGGAATGAACCGGAAGGGAACACTAAACCATCGGTGGCATGGTTCCGCTCGGCGGATTTTTCCGACTCATTCAAATACAGCTGAAGTTGACCAAATGCACCCGGTACCTTTTGCCGTCAGCGGAAGAAGGACAAACGGCCAAACGCACGAGTGGACGGCAAAGTGTTTGGTATTTGGAAGAGCAGAACTGTGGGCGTATTGATCCACTGCTAACAGGTGAGGCTCTCAACAGTCTGGGTTTTTCGAAGTACCCTTCAGGTTGGTTTAAAGGGAACGCTTTGGGGGTTCAAATTTCCTATCTTGACACACAAGCAAACACGCACACCCATGCACACAAACAGACACGCAGACACACAGACACACAGACACACAGACACACAGACACACAGACACACAGACACACAGACACACAGACACAGACACACAAACACAGACAGACACACAGACACACACAGACACAAACACAGACACACACAGACACACACAGAGACACAAACACACACACACAGACACACACACACACAGACACACACACACACAGAGACACACACACAGACACACACAGACACACACAGACACACACAGACACACACACACAGACACACACAGACACACACAGACACACACACACAGACACACACAGACACACACACACACAGACACACACACACACACACACACACAGACACACACACAGACACACACACACACACAGACACACACACAGACACACACACAGACACACACACACAGACACACACACAGACACACACACAGACACACACACACACACAGACACACAGACACACACAGACACACACACACACACAGACACACACACAGACACACACACACACACACACACACACACACACACACACACACACACACACACACACACACACACACACACACACACACACACACACACACACACACACACACACACACACACACACACACACACACACACACACACACACACACACACACACACACACACACACACACACACACACACACACACACACACACACACACACACACACACACACACACACACACACACACACACACACACACACACACACACACACACACACACACATACCCACACACACACACACAAACAAACACACACACAAACACAAAAACACTCAGACACACATGTTGCTTTCAGTCTGAACACAGCACCTCCCAAGAAAGATGATGGTACTCATTCTTGTCCTCCTCCAGCGGGTTGAAAAAGAGAAGGTTCACCTCAAATCAGACCAGATTCTGCTGGTTGGTCGTTATACGATGACCACCAAACCACCAAACCACTAGGGAAGCCAGGGCTTCAATGGCACATGACCACCATCGTATCCCCAGGGAAAGCGGTTTGTTGAATCCATCTTGCAAGCACAAATTAAGCAACATGTGCCTGGGTCCCCGAGAAAATGGCGTTTGAGAACAAAGCGAGCACACAACTCAATGAGCAAGTTGCACAACTCGTTGCAGCGAGTTGCAAACTCATCGTATTCTACCGCATTGTTGTAGTTCCTTGCGATCAACAAAGTCAACGCACGCAACCCATCAGCATGTCTTGGCCTGGTTGAGATCAAAGGATACTTGTCTGAATGACAACTTTGACGAATCCCTTTCAGTCAATTCCGTTTCCTTGCCCGGACATACCAAGATCTAGGCAGTTCAAAACGTCCACACCTCAAAGTCTATTCCAACTCGCCAGCCAAAACTGGCTAAAGCGAGTAATGGCTTCGGCTGGAAGCCAGGCGTCTTGTCAATCTTTCCTTAGCGGCAGGTGACAAACATGGAGGCAACAGTACTCTCTCCCCGAGCTCGGATCGAATTGTGCAAGACTTGCTCCATGTAGCTCAAGTCCCCGCCATACTCGATCCATGGCCAACTTGCAAACTAGAACAAAGATCTGCAAACGTTTGCGAGAGTTCCAAAACCAGAAATGAAGAATCCCAAAGTAAAGAGCCTACATCACAGCAAGCTCGTCTTACCCCAAGCTGCCAAAAAAGAGGCAAACAGATTGCGTGGCATGGCGCATTCCACAAGACGGCCATGCCAAGTCTGGGTCAGTTGCAACCCCAGTCCTAGCGCCCCTACTGCACATTTCGGTCGTTGACAGGTGCTAGCTCCTGCATTTGCATCCTGAGACCGGGGTTTATGTTTCATCTCACGGTTCACAAATACATTGTTCCGCTTTTTGGGCCACAAGTTCACGTGGCACAGTCAGGAAGGTCACAGGGTGCCTTCACTTGAATGTCGTAAAATATGGGATCCCTATGGTGGTTTTCCCTGTGGTTTCCCTCCATTCGATCCACTGTGGAAGTCTATGGCCCATGCAAGAACATCTCCCAAGAATGGTGCCCTGAAACAACAACATTGCTTGGGCTTCCCCTTAAAGCGTCCCCAAAGACGCGGAAGGCCGGCCACACAAAAGGACAGAGCGGCTCCCAGGTTTGGCCGAGCTTCTGAAGACCAGATCCAAGTCGCTCTGAGAGATCCCAGGGCAAAGACGCCGCAAAATCTCCTCCAAACTCTTGCGGCTGATGGTGCCATCGCCGTCCTGGTCGTACTTCTTGAAGATCTCCTGCGATAGCTGCCCCTTTTGGCTGAAAATAGATCCTGGAAATGAGTAGCTACGAGAGGTGCCCTGTTGGTTGAAAAGGGATGGCCCATGAAACAATAAACAAGC